AGTCTAATGAGAATTTCAAAGTTAAAAATGCAAAGTATCCAGCAGCTAACTCCATATTCGCATTTCATTTCACTTTCGTTCTTCACCGAGCGCGCGACGGTGGCAGTGCATTGTGCATACTTATACCTGCCTTATAAGCTCCTTAATTGGAGAAAGAAGAGATTTTGTTAAGCGTTTTATAGGAGCACAGTCAAGTGGAAATTGCAAAAAAAAATAAATAAATCAATTCGTTCTCTCTCCGGTTTAATGCGCGTTTGTTCACGTGCTTCGCTTAAATTTAAATCGACGCATAAATAATCAACAAAAAGAAATAGTTTTCTTTAATTGGTGAGCTTCGTTAAGCGTGCATATCTGTAAATGAGAGAAACCTCATCGCATCGATTTATATATTGTTTATATCTCGTTAATTTTTGAAGATTGTTTTTCATTAAAGAGTTCAGTCACGTACGGCTCATGTGCATTGTCGTTTATGGTCATCTCGGAGAGGTGAAAATTGTGGGAAAAAAAATCAAATATACAATTACAGCTGACGTAAGGTAAAAAATTCTAGAAGCTCTTACGCGATTTTTTGATTGATCTTGTTTTCTCCAACTATGTACTATTACCCTCTAATTTGACCAAGCAATCGAAACCAATACTTACGCGGTAGTAAGCAATTTGTATCGGATAGTTTACGCACTCTCGAGATCAAACGAACATTATTGAACTTATTTGACGTTAATTTTTTTTAGAAATTTGTTCAATCTTTAGAGTTAAAAACGTTAATTTTAATCTATTAGATTAGATTATTTGTAATACTACTGACCATAGTGATTTAAAAATACTCATGATATTACAAAATTTCCGCGTGTCATTTCGCATTCAAGACCATGTAATTAAAATCCAGGGTATATTCGAACTATTTTTTTCTCTTATAAATTAGCAAACGATTGGTAATCAAAACATTTTTTTCACATACAACATATATTTATTACGAGCAACGTACTCATTTCAGGATTAAAATAAAATGTTTTCAATTTTCCTCTTCACTTACTCCTTTCTTTATACGTTGCTTTCATGTACACACACGGCACAAGCAGCGCTTTTAATTTCCTCAGCCTGACTGTTACTTCCGTTATGAGCTCAACACGAATAAAATGTTATTTTAATTTCCTGAAAATTTTTCGTCGAAATCCTTTCATCTATTTTTTATTTAAATATTTAGAGTGTCAATTTAGTTTTCATTTGTTAATTGATATGAATAAGTATAAATAAGCAGTATGAATAAGTAGTCTAAAATCGTAACGTGTTTTCCCTTTTTTTTATTTCACGATGGTAAACTTACAAACAGTACAAAAATAATTATAACGAAATCTCAATTGTCCATAATCGTTTGAGTGATGTAGAGTTATGATAATTCATAGTTCGACAATATAAAAAGTATTCCTTTTAACAAAGTTCATACATTAACTAGCACTATTCGTGTTGCATTATTAATAATATGTACAAAATGGATCATCAAAAAAGATTACAATATTCCGCTAATGCACACGCATATCTTATTCATGAAAACCAATAAGAATCGAATAAAAGAGAGCAGATATTGAATTACGATACAAACAAAATCTTTGATCCATTAGTATATCGCATTATGAGGCATTGACTTATACGAACTGGCGACACATTTTTGTACATCATTACGACACTACCAACTAAGCTGTAGTTTTGTCTTTGTTTACGACGCAATTATGATTGGATTATTTAAGAAAAAACATAATCGCCAGTACGATTTACAAAAAAAACTTAAGAGTACAAAAATACATTAAATTAAAATTTAAAATTATCAAATAAGTTCTGGGGTTGCATCCAACGTGCCGACTACGTTATTGTGCCTACAAAATCCGAAATATACGTATACAATGTTGTCAAAACGTATTATAATTATTAAACTATATAAATTTGACAATAGTTGAATTTTTTCTCAAATTACTTATACGATTAAGCCGAGTAAAATACAATAAATACGTCGTAGATATAATCACCGTTAACAATCTTTTTTTCTCATTGTTTTTCCAATGTGCCTCACAAACTAAATAAGACACAACTCTGCAGAAGGGTAAAAGTTAATTTGCAAATTGAAATAGATGTTGAGTCGTTTTCGTGCATTTATAAAAATTTAGTGCTTACTCAAGACAAGCAACAATAAGGTCGGATGCTTTGCGATCAATGGTTATGCCGTATTAAAATCTCAAAATAGAATTAACCACAAATATCGTTGAAGTATTATACCGTGGAGACCATAATTTCACTCGGTTCACCGTATGAATATATGTATCGGTCGAACGTACAGGTCTATGTACGTCGGAATACGCGTGTAATGAAACTTGCATAACCATCGGAGCCCGAGCATTATATAGAAGAACAAGATTCGATCTGGCGCGGGGCTGGTAGTCGACGACTCCGTACCCGCGAGAGAGACGCCGAGAAAGTAGTAGAGAGGGGTAAAAGTAGTCGCAATTTTTCAATTCAAGTTTGTACTGTCTCCGCGAGCCGCGCGAACGCATATTTATATGTATATACGAACGAGCTTTACATGCGATATAAATACATAAAACACGCACGTTCACGTGTTACACGTATGCGTGTGTGTTTTGCACTCTAATATTTATGGACCGACTCGCAGCAATTCCTTGCCAAGTAAATGACCTTTGCATAGATACGCAGAATCGATTATTATCTCGGCTTCGTCGAGAGCGAGCCAAAGGCTTTTCACTTTCGTTCACTCGATATCGGCTCGTTTCAGCTGTTGTTGTGTTGCGCGTAATTTTTTTGTTCCGGCATCGCCCATGTGCGGCTGCGCCCGTGTGTAATTATGCATCGGCACTTTTCAGTCGTCCAAACGAGTGTGCGAGATATACGCGCCCGACTCGCTTTCGTCCTTTTTTTTCACCTTTTTATTGATATAATTCGTGAAAGTAGTCCTTAAAAACCGCTCTTGTCAATGGCAACAGAAAAAAGAAGAAAAAAAGATTCGCTTATATAATCCGACGCGCTGCGATGTAGGTTTTTCCGCGTATTCGACTCGATTGACGCGGATAAGTGAATTATAAAGTCATGTTTCTGCCCGGAATTTTGAGAAGAAAGCTTCATCGCGCACGAGGAAAAATATTGTAAGCAAATGTATCGAATGACACGGAAAACTGTGTTCCAATTTTGAAGCGTACACGAAGAGCGAGTTTTGTCGAGTTTTCTCAAGCCAAAAAAAAAAAAAGAACGAACCGGCTGAAGCAAACACGTTTACGCGCAATACGCGTATAATAGTTACGTACGCGGGCATTTCAATAGATTTTGCAACTATTTTTGTCGGACTATATGGTTTACACGCGTACATCGGGAAGCCCCCCGGGTGAACGAATTTTTGAGAAACGAAAGTGTGCAAACTACTGTTACTGCGTTCATCCAAGTTTTCCGGAATGTTTTTCATTGAAAAACTCGGTGGCGCGCGATAGAGAGATTAGAATACATATAGGAGCTGAGGCCCCGGCGAAAAAGCGCAACTTCGAACTGCGCGCGCTGCGTTTACAAATTGCGCGAATTATATCGAGAGCAAAATTTCGAGAGAGCTGTATCACGTGCTCGCGCAGGATTCGAAAGAGAGCGAAAGGCACATGCATAAACGGTATATTAAAAGAGAGGTTAACGAACCGAGTTTACGGTACCGTGTATTGTGCACGCGCGCACGCCAACACAATTCACGATATTATTATACACACACGTATGTACGGGGCACTCCACCCATGAGCGACGCATAATACGGCGCGTCGTTGTAAATTTTCACTTTTAAGCTCAAGTGATCTGTATAAGCGCGCGATGCCAAGTAGAGGCAATTTCTCGATCGAAAGCGAAGCCTCCATATATATAATACATCGATACATGCGTCTCGTGTACACAAAGACACTTGCATGGGCATTAGAATTCCGGTTTGCTACACTTTTCTACTCTCGAGTGCGTTTTATTGCCAACGAGAGACTTATGCATATTATGCGCGGCGATACTTTGCGGAGTTTCATTTTTATGCCAAGACGATCGGCGATCTCGCGGAGATACGAGCGAGAGAAAGATATCGTCGATCGATATACACGTATCTGCAACTATGCGCGGCTGATAGATGAATAGAAGTCGGCGTACGTACGTAAAATTTCCGTTTTACATAAAAGTTTCTCCACGGCGGGTGGTCAATTATATGCGTTACGACTTTAAACGCGTGTCAATTAGCCAATCGAATGAAGTGACGATGTAAATCAAGACATTCATTCGCTATTCGGAAGTTACAAAGCGAAAGTTATAAAAGAAGAAAGAAAGAAAGAAGATGCGTCGGCGATGCATCGTGTTGGTCCCCAAAAACAGTTTAAATTACAAATAAATGAGGCCTGTATTATAATCGGTATCCATATTTCTTACACATGTATACACACTCGTAATCTCATTCACTCAAAGCTGTCGATTTGCCGTTTATTATATATACTTCGCGCCAGTTTTCGTCGAGAAAAAAATCGTACACAATAAATAATTATATATATAAAAGTTATATGTATAATAAAACGGCGCGCTTGAACTGGCTTACACATGCATCATATTATAATATTCAGCCAACATCATCGATACCTTTTGCGCTCGCGTACACAGGAGTATTAATGTAGGAATGTTGATAGGGGGAGGTAGGCGAAGAAAATCAAGGAGTGTATAACTTGTCGATGGAATGGAGAGAGATAGATAGAGAGAGAAAATCAGTATCATTAGGAATGTGTATGTATATCGTATATGCAAAGTGTTGGCTCTCCGCCAACAAACGCAGGCATAGAGCCAGAGTGACTGGACGAGAATCATCATTATTTATCGATTATAATGAAAGAGAACCTAATAATAATAATTAAAAAAAAAAAATAATAACGCGGCGATTCAGGCGGTGAGAGCTGCGTCGAGGTTCGTGTAATTTGTCTGTGTGTCGTTGTCGATCGCGTTTACTGATAATTGACGCCGCCCTGGCGAAGGAACTGGTCGATCTGTCCTAGGGTGAGCGGTGCCTGCTGCAGACTCCTGCCGGGCGCCTGCTGAGCCGCCGCCACGTAGTAGTAGTTCTGTCCCTCTCTCTGATTGGGGTCCTGGATCAGCTGGATCCTCTGGGGCTGCTGCTGCTGCTGTCTTCGCTGCTGCTGGGCGTAGAGCTGCTGGGACTGCTGGAGCAGCTGGCTCTGCTGCTTCCTGTAGATGGCCTCCTGGGGCTGGGCGATCTTCGGCCTCTGCGGGGCGACCTGCTGGGCGGGCTGCGGCTGCGAGGCGGCTTGGCGGTAAATCGAGCTCTGCTGCAGGCCGACCAGGGGCTGCTGCGACTGGGCGACGTACGGCTGGAGCTTGTGGCTCAGACTGAACTCGCCGAGGGTCTGCGGAAGGGTCTGGTACAGCTGAGTGTTGTACTGGCCGGTGGCTGGATCGTAGACCAGCTCGGACTGGTAGATGGCGTCGCTGGGTCGCTGCGAGCTCGACTGGGCTATCGGGGCCTGAGACGGGGACGGCTTATACTTGGGCTGGACGATCTGGGGCCTCGGGGTCGAGCTTCCGACGCTGTTGACGTAGCGCTCGAGCTCGGCAGCAAAGTCCAAGTGCTGGCTGGGTGGCGTGGCGGTCGTCGACGAGTGCACGGGCGTGATGGTGCGCGGAGCGTAGACCACTCCGGGCCTCTCGGTGCTGGGTCCGGGCGAGACGTACTGGGCGGCCACCTGAGCGATGTGAGGTCTCGGGGTGATGGCCACGGACTGGGGCCTGGTGCGGGTCACCGCTGGCCTCGTGCTGGTCTCCACGGGCTGGTAGTAGGTGGTGCGCACCGGAGCTGGAGTCGTCGGGGCACGGGAGGCCGCCGAGGTCGACGCGAAGCGGTACAGAGTTGGACTGGTCGTTGGAGCCGGTGTAGACTGGTAGTTGGAGTAGACCGGCGACGATGGCTCGGCGGCTACTTGAATGTAGGTGGGTCTGCGGAAGGCGTGAGGTCTGCTGGCCGGACGAGGTTTCGTCTCCTCCTCGAGCTCTTGGCTGGCATCGTCGTCGAGCTGGTACTCGGACTGGAAGATCGTGGTAGGTGCCCTCTGGGTGGTGGTCGGGTAGTTCGGCCTAGAGGGTCTGGCAACCGGTCGCACGGACGGGTAGTTCTGAGGTCCCGACGGCTCGTCAGCTTCGTGCTTCTTGATCAGCTCGTCGTCGTCTTCGTCTTTGGGTGCGTTCGGGTCGCAAGGGTTGCCCGAGACGTAGGTGAACTCTCGCTTGTTGCCGTCCGGGTCGACGTAGCCGTACTTGCCGCGCACGACGCAGTCGGTGCCGCGAGTCTCTTCCTTGAAGGAGCCGTCAGCGGCTTCATAGCCGAAGGTGAAGCTGCCATCGTCGTTGACCTTGTTGTAGTTACGGATGGTCTGCACGGGCGCCGGCTTCGAGGCGGCGATCGTGTCCTTGGCCCGGTTCAGGGGCTGGAGCGCTCGGGTGCGTGGCTGGTAGGCTACCTGCGACGCGTAGTCGTCGGCCTCCTGGGGCTGGGCTTCATCCTCCTCCTCGTAGTAGAGGGCCGGCTCTTGGGCGCGTTCCCTGAGCTGGACTCTTCGTGACTCCGCGAAGACCACCAGGCACGCCGCGATCACCTGTTGTAAAAAAGAAAACACGAGAATTAGTCACCATTCGTAATGTAATAATACTTCTGAATTATTTTAATTTGATCACGGTATGCGTAATATTTAAAGAATGCAAGCAGAGTTTCGCAATCGCGACGCGTAGTAGTAGCCATGCAATGAAAGTGAGCTCGCATAATTTCTTTTCTTTCAATCGCGGCGAGTCTGCTCGACAGCGTAATGCATGCCAAAGTCACGCTGTTCGGTATATTACTCAACAGACTATAATAAAAAAAAATCTATTCTATTCATCCCTCGTCGTGAGTTTATATACACGTGAAATGCGTCGTCGTCGTCGTCTTGGTCGGAGACAACACCCGCGACGTAAATGAGGCTCGCTCGCGAGACTGTCCGCGTCGCGGCCCTTTCTTTCTCGTTGCGAAGTGTATCCACGCGCGACTATTACGTAGTCGCGACACGTTTCTGCTTTCAGTTAGCTGCATATATTCTATATAAGTGCGCCAACGACGGCAACGACGACGACGACTGGGCTGTCGCGCGACAAACGAGGTCTGTTTGACAGCTCAGCGGGCCGCTGCTGTGCGCGAGTCCATAATGGTGAATAATATACACACACACAAGCGATAATGACGTTGCCCGATCGTTGAAAAATTTGCTTCTATATACTTCGTCGTCGTAGAAACTCTGCGAGCTCGCGTAGCGGCTGTCGCTCACTATATACACGCTCTGTTTCTCGACTTGCGTGCTTTAGATACATTGGAAAATGGAAAAAACATCAAAAAGCTCTTTCGATCGCAGGTGCTGCGTACGTACACGTCTTGCGCGGCTTTGAAGAGAAAACTGAGATATTATGTCACCGACGCAACAATGGATGACTTTCCTTGGGGCTCGGTGCAATTTATAAGCTCGCGACGATTCACGGAAGGAATTAAATTTCGCGACGTCGCCAAATAGGTAATATATAGGTCAAGCCGATATAGGCATCGATTACGCGTTGTTTTGTCGCACTTCTAACGTCGAGCTGCGCGCACAAATTTTGATAGCACGAGCTATTGCGGTACCCGGTTACAAAACACATCGTACTTGAGATTCCAGAGCCGCATGCATAACAGCTCTTTAATATTATATTATATACGTGTGTTCGTTTAGGCATCAGCTGTGCGCTGCAAACCGCATGTTTTACCAGACAATGATAAATTATCCGCGTAAATCGTTGGGGCTCGGGCAACTGCAGTCATGAGACGAAAATAAAATTAATTTTTTCCATTCGGCTAGTGCTCCATGCAAGCACACACATACACATACATATTCGTATATGGACACGAGGTGTCTGCGCACCTAGTTGCCTTGCAGCGTACTCTCATGAACATTATTCTGATAAACTGCGCTCATTTTCACACCGCGCGCCACGAGTCGTTGTTGCTAGCGCTCGATATTCGAGGATAAAAGTATATCCGCCTGCTCGTATACATATAATCGATCGAGTGCTTATAATCTATTCAAGATCGCAATTGGTATGCGCATATTATAAAATATCTATTATACGCAACAAGCGCAAATAATTATTTCGCACGGGGTTGCGCGAATTCAGCCAAAGATATTTCAGCTGCGCGTGCAATTCATCAAAGAGCTAATATAACGCAGAAATGTTGTATGCTGTATACGTGTGTATACAGGAGACGCCGATGAAAGTTCATCGGTACGGTAGCGATAATACGGCAGCTCGTAGCGGCGCGAAGAAAAACCGCAGCGAGCGAGAGTGAGAGTGTTTTCGCTGCATATAATACAGATCGCCGAAGCCTCGCCACGCCGCCGTTCATAACTGCACTGCACAGCCGAGCGCCGCATAATGTGACCTGGCGGGTATATAATAATACATTCTCCGGGCGTACATACACAATAACGTGAGAGCCAAAAGTTGTGCAGCAGCAGCAGTAGCCGCGCCCAACGCTAAATCGGAAGTTCCGGCTTCGTTGTTGTATTATCTAGCTTATAACGCGGCGCGCGCAGCCTTGGCTCTATATATTGCGTGATTATAAGCGCATTATATATGCGCTGGCTAATACTTGCCTACTATGCATCTCGTCGAGATTAGAAGTTGTGAACTTCTAAAGAAGGTCAAGAAAGTGGATATCGTGCCGCGAAAAATTAGCAGTGGCTAGCTATAGCGCGAGATGAATAAGTAATGACGTGTCGAAAGTCTGTAATGCTATAAAGGCCATAGATTGAGCAAAATGTTCGCATATAATTGCAGTACAAGATTATACAGTGCTACTTCGACGATTTTTTCAAATCGGCAATTTTTTTTGTTGTTGTTTTTTTTTCTTAGCTCTCGCGCCAAGTATACAAACTCGTACTTATACATTACGCTCGCGAATTTTCTCGAGCGAATTCGCGCGTTAAATTCGTATACGAAATGAGCTCGGCGCTAAACGAGCTGCGCGAGCGCATTATAGACCCGTTCACACAGTTACGTCCATTTGCACACGTATATAGCCTAAGCAGCAGACACACTTGCGCGCACAAAAATGCGGTTTATAAGTGTAATCCTTTAACCGAAAGGTGTAACATTATATACATACACGCATATTATATAGGAGCTTATGTAATAGGTGGCGGCATGCGAGCGATTACAAGCTCGCGAGAGCAGCCCGAAAGCAGCTGATGAAGTGATTTCGTGTTTTTATTTAACACTTTTTCCGAATTACCATCCTAGTTTTTTACTCGCAAAAACTACTTACACCGTGTTCGTTATGTAATTTAACGCGCTTAGTGTACCTCGATGCGGAATGCTAGTGAGACCGGGCAAAAAGTTTATTTTATAATTATTATCAACTTATGCGTGCGAATAAATTTTACATATATATGAATTATTACACAATTTAGAAATGCACACAAAACTTTAATGAAACCAAATCGTCTAAAGACTGGAATTATATGGTTCCGATAATAGTAATGAGCTTCGATTTGACGCTCGTCGGTAAAAGTCCTGTTCAAGGCTGTTGGCAGTGCAGCAGCAGCAGCAGCAAATAGATTTAGAGAAAGTATACGAATGTACAGTACTACAAATGCGCGAATCGATCGAAGTTTTTATTTTTTATTTTTTTTTTTTAATCGGAAGACAAAAACGATCGAGTCGATTCATTATAATCGCGCGGCAAAGCTGCAAAATCATTCATCATTCGGTACGCGCTCTTGCGCGCGCACTTTACGCTGATCCAAACGATAAGCCATTACTCATCGATACATCCGTCTTTTTATTAGATTTAATCGCGTCAGGCGATGAAAAATAAATTTTTCCGCGCCTCGAGAGAGCTACTAATGCGCACAGCGTTGCTGTTTTTTTTTTTTACTTTTTTTAAATGCACCCGCCTCGAGTCGATTAATAAACTTTTGCAGTTGATCGAACAATGGAAAATACAAAGCTCGCAAACATCGTCATTACAGCTTGAGATATATGTAAGAATAAATCTCGAGATCGTATTAATATCGAGTCTGTGCATCGACGAAAAAAAAAAGGCAAGAATTATAAGCGTAACAACGTTTAAGCGTGAAGCTCATGCAGAATGGCACACGTCAAAGAGTAACAGCTGAACGCACCGCGCGCAATAAGAAAATATCGTCGGTACATTGTAGAGCACGCGCAGGCGTCACCATGAACGAACCCCGCATGCACGACCTGCGACGATGCAGCAGCAGCAGCGTGGCTTTGAAAAACGCAAAACTCCCACGCGCGCACGCCCGAGGAAAGCGACTATATAATAAGTCGTAGTATATATAGGTGGTAGCAGTAATATCGAGCTGCAGCAAAATCAGCTGAGCTCCATTATCTCTCTCTCTCACTGTCTCGGGCTTGCTGCCGCGTCTCGCTCGCTCGCTCGCTCACCAGGGAAAACGTCAATTATCGGTATCAATCACGATCGCGACCGATCTGAGAACTGATTTTTCCTGATTATTACCTCGCGCGCTCACTTGTAAGACAGTGAGAGAAAGATATCTCGATGACCGAAAATTGGCCTGACGGAAGCGAAAAAAAAAAGAAAAAAAGAAAAGGAAAAGAAAAGCGATACTCGCGCACGCGTTTTTCAAAGACAGCTGATGGCTGCTGCTGCTGCTGCTGCTACACGTATGCTTAATGTGCCGGCTTCATTAACATTTCGAAACTCATATATGGAAGACATGCAGCGCATGTGGCTATTGGAATTGTTGCGCGCGCGTGCGTTGACGTCGAGGCTTCCGGTGTCTCTCTGCATGGCGTTGCAAATATCTATATATACATGTATAATGCATGCCATTGTGCACGAAAGTTTGGTCTAAGTGTGTGTGTATGTGCATGAAAGCACAAGTATAGGATCGCGCCCGCTCGACGAGTCTCGGTGTGGGAACACACCCGAGGATCGGCGGCTGTTCACCGACACATCCATACACTAGCGCACACCAACAGAACTGTGTATAAGGACAGCGAGAGGGAGAGTGAGAGCGGTGGTGTGCATATACGTATGCAACTTGCGCAATACCTGCACACACACATACATGGGCTCTCTCACTCGGCGCGCTCGCTGACCCGAATCCCGGCGACTTACTTCTGTATATACACACAAATACACACATACACGTAGAATACAGTGTAACTCTCTATCAATGCGCGCACACACACACACACACACATACATGCGGAGTCGCGAATCATGTAAGAAGCTCATGCGCGTTTATGTACCGTGAGATTCAGATCCAGAGCGTCGTAACTCGCACACAGAGCAAGCTCTCCTTGAACCGCGAGCGAGAGCGCGAGAGTAGCGCAAAAGTCGAGCGAGATAATAAAAATGCCCCGAGCACGCCTGCTGCTGAATCGGGTAGGGGCCTCTCTATGCAGCTACCGTACACGTACTTACCATACATACGTATAGCACATTTGTGTACTATATATATACGGAGAGTCAGAGCGAGAGCAAAGCGTGCCCGCGAAATTCGACCCGCGGCGGACCTATTATCATCCATAGCTACTTTTACTT